ACAGTTTGATAATAAGTGTGAGAGTACTGTCTGTACTCGGCTAGCTTGATTATCACTTCAAAAGTTTTTTTTTTTTTTCCCTTAATTAAATGGCCTCTCAGAGGCGGGAAGACAACTCCCACCTGTTTTATGCTCTCTGTATGTGTGTATATATATCTCCTCAATATATGTTCCATTCTATATGCATCCGAAGAAGTGGGCTGTAGTCCACGAAAGCTTATGCTCTAATAAATTTGTTAATCTCTAAGGTGCCACAAGTCCTCCTGTTCTTCTTTTTACAGACTATAATACTGAACCAGGCCAAAATGAAAAGTTTCAATTTGGGAATGTCAAAACATTTTGTTTCAGTTGAAAATGTAGAAATGAAACACATCACCATTTCTGAATTGAAATATTTCAGTACTTACTGTTCTGCGGAAAATTTCAGCATCTTGACTTTTTGTCCTGATATTTTGAGTGAAAATAAATGTAGAAATATCAGAATTTCTCAGGGGGGAAATTCTGCTTTTCAACCAGAAATATCTATATATTATAGATAGATAGACACAGACAAGAAGGCTGTATGATACCTGCAATGAACACTATTTTTGAGAACAAGTAACCAAAAAAATAGGAATGGGAGAACTCATTTTTCTAAATTTGGAATACACACTAACATCATTTGGGGGAGGGATAGCTCAGTGGTTTGAGCATTGGCCTGCTAAACCCAGGGTTCAATCCTTGAGGGGGCTACTTAGGGATCTGGGGCAAAAATCAGTACTTGGTCCTGCTAGTGAAGGCAGGGGGCTGGACCCGATGATCTTTCAGGGTCCCTTCTAGTTCTGTGAGATATATAGATAGGTATATCATGGTTTCAAAATTGGGTGAAGGGAGAGAAGAAATTTATGAGTCTGATGGGCGGGAAAAAACACCCAACCTCTTGGGCTAATACAAAGGAGTAGATTAAAAAGGGTCATTCACAAAAGCTCAGAAAGCACAATGATACCAGCAGCTATGTCAGATACATGTGTCTTGGTTTTGCCCAGGACGGGTCAGATGTGTCGTGAGAAAACTCCCCACTGGTCTCCACACTTTTTGCTTTATTTTGATTTTGTATCCTCAAGATCTTCTCAGGGCAGGGGTGTCCTATATTTTGGCAATAGCCTGGTTATGCTAAGAGTACAATAGATAGACCGAGAGTTTCAAAGCCAACTAGGAGAATTAACCACTAATTTCCCATTAATTTCAGTTCAGTTGCCCTGGCTTTGAAAATCTCAGCCACAGCTTCCAGAGTAGACCAGTTAGCTTGCAGCAATAATACAAACATTTGCTACTCTGTATAGAGCTTATGACCATGAATAATTCAAGCCTCAGAGATCCTCTTATCTTTTATCAGGCTTAGGGTTGCTGACCCTCCAGGATTCTCCTGGAGACTCCAGGAATTAAAGATTAATCTTTAATTAAAGATTATATCATGTGATGAAACCTCCAGGAATATGTCCAAACAAAACTGGCAACCCTAACCAGGCTTCCAACGTGTCCCCTCTGATTAAAACAAGATGAACCAATTAATAACATTTTTAAAACATTTATCAAATCAAAGATTTAAAAGGACACAGACAAATAATGAATGCAAGCAGAAAAACAGAAACAGAAAAGCTTCTTGGCTAACAGTTATCCTGGAGGGAATCAGCTTCTTCCACCAGAAGATAGCCAGATTCAAGTCACTGTTAATGTTAATGGCAAAAACTAATCTATTTGGTGGAATTTCTATCGCTTTCGTACATCTGGATCATGTGGACACTCTAAGCCTAATTCTGCACTGACTTACATCAAATGCAACCCCCATGAACTTCATGGGATTTCTCAGTGCAGAATTGGCTCTCCGATTAAATTGTTTTTGATAGAATGGTTAAATAACTGATGGTGCTTCTGGCTGATACCGCCTAAAAATAGTGTATATGATATTGAAGTCTACAGCTCCTTTCTAAGGCAATGCAATACAATGGGCATATGCATACATAAAAGATCTATTAAGCATGGTGAGGTATCAAATTTAAAGCACACATCTGAGATAAATTGGTGGTATTAAGGACTAGAACATAATGATTTACAATTGGATACACAGAAGTTTAGATGATTTTTCCAGTGTACAAAAACAAGTGAACAGATCATACTAAGGGGAATAGTTGCATTAGGTTTTGCTGGTTTGCTCTTGCAAATACAACCCATATTTCATCTTTTCTCCCAGTTTAGTTCCTGCTAAACACTCTTCAAATTTTCTGTCCATCTCTTTACTCTGAGCTTCAGAGAAATGGTTCTTCCAGTCACCAACCATTCCTGAAAACATTTAAAAAAATTTTTTTAATATATATATATATATATATATATAACT